GTAAGACGCCATATAAGAACAATGGATTAATGATAGTTAGCTGGGTCAACACACTCTGAGAATCTCCAGTTTCCTGTCAAGGGCGACTAAGCAGTGTTTTCCTTGCTCATGAGGAGACATGGAGGACAGTCTGTAATCGCCATCTGCCCATCCTTCTACTTCTCCTTCTTTTCTCTTTCCCTATTTTTCCCCCATAGTTTTTCTCGCTGCTTTTGAGTCCACAGCAACACATGTCTCTGATCAAGTCCAGCCTGCGTCATCAGTTAGTAAACTCCAGGCTCCAGGAAAACCAACAGAGAGCACATTCATAAGCGGCGACCCTGTGACTGAGTGTGTGATTCATTACTCTTTAATATGCCCGTCCCCCTCCCTACCAATCCCACCCCCCCAAACACCCAACCACGTTTCCTATCCCGCCACAGGGCAGCTCCGCATGGCCCGATCAGATCCATCATCACGGCATACTTGCTGTGTTGATCTTATTGTTTACCACTGGCCTTTATGCCTTTCACAATTATCTCTGAACGTTACATCTCTTAGCGTTGCTGTTATTGATTTGCTGTTAGAAAATATTATAGAAAAATGTTGCTCTGAAGTGAGGTCACAAATGAAAGTGCATATGACAGATTTTTGTGTTTTTCAAATTATTACTCAGTTAGTGGGATAATATCTGTGGTAAATATTTATCATAGTTTCAGTCAAGTGGAAAAGGCTTGAGAAGTCGAAAAATACGAGAACTAGGGATGACTTCTAAAACAGAATCCCTCCATCTACGTCATCAACACTGAAAATTACATCTAAAATGCAGTGACAATTTGACAGTTGAAACATTCATTTAACAAATTAAAAGGTGCAATTTAGACACCTTTGACCCTTGTTTACACTATGGTTGCTGGTTAGAGAATAGCCTCTGCGTATGTCATGTCTGCTACTCATGTCCGGAAGTCTAATTACAAACTTCACCAAAATGAAAAAAAAAAGAAAAAAGAAAACTGTTTACTACTTTTTGGTGAAATTACAGTCTAACCTGTCACTGCACTTCAAGAGGTGCTAATTTTGGCAGTGGAGGCTGGAGGCTGAGGGAGTAGGTGCATGAGGAGCAAAAAAGGGGCTTGGGGAGGGGATAGGGTGGTCTAGACTTCAGAGCGATGCTTCTATTCTTAAGTACAAAGCACCCTGTTTCCATTCCCTCACATGTTGTCTTTGAACACAACCCCATTCCAGGGGAGTTATATTTTACACACCATAGCCTAATTCCCAAGTAACACGCGGACATAAGGTCACGCTGTATTTGGATGGTCCTGTGCTGATAATCAGTTTGCTGTCAAGTGACTCTGATGTGTCTGTGGAAGGAACAGGGACTTTCAGGTGATAGTCACAAGTGCACAGAGAAGCAGGGACATGTTTATGGTTTATCATCTCAAGGAGGTCATGGTGTTCTGGTAGGAAGTGTATTAATTTCCTTGATGTATATTGCAGCACTGACAAACCCAACTCTCCCACATCAAGCCCCAGTTTATATACATCGTACTGCGTAAGTCATGTGTTTATGTCTATTATTCAAACGACACAAGCTGTTTGTTGATATGGGAACATAGTTGTAATGTATTTGTCTTTGTTGTAATCAATATCTGAACAAACAACTGTACATCTTTACACAACCACCTGTGTTATTCCCATTTTGTGATATATGTGTTGTTTTTTTTTTTGTTGTATCCGTATATTACTATTCATGTACTGTCTATCTACTATCTACATGAGGTATTTGCTTTCAAAGGGTCATACATTATAAACTTGTCTTAAAAAATAATAGTTTTACAGTAAAAAAAAAATAAAAATCACTGAACAAGGCCCCAGTGTTATCTTATTTATACCTTCACACCCTAATTAATTACACTGAATGTCAGTTTCAGTTTTTTTTTTTTTTTTTTTTTTTTAACATTATGGCATCCAGTGAACTCCATGATTCCCAGACAACTCAAAATAATAGAGATAATTATTAGATGATGATGTTTACGTGGGCCATGATGTATGACGTGAGTGAACCTGCCAATTGAGTAAAACCTTGTCTCATCCCGTGGTGGCCGGAGTGCATGTGTGAAAGTGCTCATCGTCTGAGGGCTCTGTGTCATGAGAGCTGAATGAGTGGTGTTTATGAGTCGCTGACAGCTTCTTCCTGTCTCCCAGGCCATGAGCGCTCACTGCTGCCCCACTGAAGGACAGTCTTCCCGTGGCCACCCTGCTCCACCCTGAAAAAACGTCCTTTGCTGTGAGGAGCCAGTTGTGGGACAGCTGATGGGGGGATGGGAAGATGGTGGCAGGCAAAATGTAGTAGAGTGGAGGAGAGCTCAGTTCTTTTTGGGTAAAGTAGGCCAATGTAAACTCCCACTTCCTGTCGGCCTCGTCTCTGAGGGAGAGATCATCCTCCTGTGAAGAAGGCCCTGCCCGCTGTTCTGTGGGGACAGACTCCACTTAAATAGAACTTGGACAGAGAGGAGAGAGAGGGAAAGAAGGAGGGAGAGAAGGAGAGAGGGGGAGCAATACACAAACATACTGGGCTGCAGGAATGTTAAACACATGCTTTATGGCATAAATAGCAGCCACTTTTGGTAAATTACAGTGAGTGCTCTCGCACTGTGGAGCACACAGCAGGATAACGCTCTCAGATTTCACATCCATGGCTCCACTTCCCCCAAGGAACAAGAGAGACGCATGTTATGTTTTATTCCTATATAAAAGCAGAAAGCAGTGCGCCTCTGGTATAGCAGCCATTAAAGTGGGGTATGTAGTTACCAAAAATACCCTGGTGGCCAAAGCTTTGGAACAACATAAATGGCCAAGCTTTTGTAAGAAAGTGAAGTTGAAAAATAAAGGGGCACATTATCAGACATGTGCCATGCCAAAAGTAAACCACACATTAGGTTTATTTAGGGTCTATGGTGCAATTATCTTTGCCTGACTTTACGGCTTGACATCAGGAAATGCTTTTGGCTGACATCATCAAAAAGTCCTGAGTTAACCTCTAACAGCTGAGTTTTTATGAGCCCTTTTCATCCCACAGCATCCTGGGTAAAGAGCATGAAACGCAATGGTCAAAAGGAACCACTGTCAGGGGCTGCGGCATCAGCTCCGCGTTAGCACTGGTCAGATCTTTGAGATCTTGACTTGTATAGTGAGGCTTCTCGCACATTTTCCTGACTCAGGGGGAAATAAGGAACTGTGCCGAGCTGTGGAACAGCTTACCTCACTCTGTTCTAGCCAGGCTTCAGCCCACGCAGAGCTGCAGACATACTGTCGAGAGGCCCCATCCTCTGACTGAAAACAGAGCCCATGGAGCAGCCATGAGAACCTACAACTGTGAGCCTAGCCTGACTCACTGTCTCAGACTAGAAAAGCCCAGTGATACATCTCCTTGTGGAGTACAGCACACACATGTTAAAGTGTACGAGATATCACATAAATCCATGAAAATGGATTGTTTGTTGGATATTACAGAAATAGTATCTTTTAATTTTAGTATACCACTGCATTTGGAACTGCAATTTTAACAGTCTACTGTGTGAGCCTCACATCTGTAAAAATGAAGACATTTGCTTTTAGAGAGATGTTTAGCGATTGTAACTGTGGAATTATAAAAACTTGAAAAGTTTGGACTGACAAAAAAATATAAATATTGGCCAAAACCTCAAGCTCAAATACCCATGTAAGATGTGGCAAGCAAAGCATGTAGGAATGAAGAGTAAAAAGAAAACAGACGTTGATCTGAGGTCCTAACGGTTGGGGCGGTATTTGCACAGTGACAGTGAGATTCATGCAACAGGTGCAAACTTGAGGCAGGTGTACCCATTGGTTCCCGTCCATCACAACAAGTTCACCTACAAGCCTGTTTATCATAAACCTGTTCACTCCGGCATCAAGACCAGTTAATCATCAAACTAACATTATTACCAACTTCAATAATGCACTGTGTTGTATAAATGAGTTTAGAGGTCTAAAAGTAAAGCTCAGACCTGATTAGATCTTAATAAACATAAATTACTTTATTGAATGAAAATGTATTACATACAAGAAATACAAGTGAACACACAAGCATGATAGAAAATGTACACATTTGAAAAATTGCACTATAAAACACAAACATTTAGGAAAGTTAAAAATTCATTTGCAGTTTTTCATTAAATAGCAGAAAAACCATGGCTTCATATTGTAAACTTTACATCATCTTTGGTCCCAGCCTCTTTTATTACATTTACTTTGCACAAAAATCTAGTAATACTGCAATCGATGTTTGTCTCTTAAAGCCACAGTTTATAACTGAGGTAAAGAAAGACAGGCACATTTTGGCTTAAAAAATGCATACATTTTTGTATATAAATTTTCAAGGCACAAATGATTTAACAAAATATGGCTTTGGCTGGTAATATTATTATTAACACTGATGTAACCTTGAGTGCATGGCACGCGTTTGTCACCCGCGTTCTTTGGAACAATAAAAACAAAAGGCACAACGGCTATTCCCATCTATCTCCAAAAGCCATCGGATTAAAGCTGGGGTTTTGGATGTAGTCAAAATAGTGGCTTAAAACGGTCCCATTGCAGAAACAAAAGATTTAATGGTGCCATTCACTGTGGAGGACTTTTTTTCTCTCTTAGGCAAACCAAGGGCAGTGGATGTCACCTGCTATTAACCAGCGAAGGTCAGGGCTGAAGCACCTGTTAGCACCTTGTCTATCTACAGCACCGTACCAGGGACAGCTGTGTGTGCTCATGCTATTGTGTGTGTGTTGTAGGAGACATGCTGAGAGATTAGTTCCACCCACACCGCCCTACCTCTCCACAGCTGGCTTTGGGACCTGATCCTGATTCGAGGATGGAGGCTGGAAAGCACACCTCTTGTCCCATTGAGTTCAACACATATTTGCTCTTTGGAATGGGCACAGCAACAAAGAAGTGTATAGTAGTGATTGTCAGCCTTTCTCAGTTTAGTGTAGGCTTGGATGGCTTGTGAAATGTAAATCCATAATAAGGAGGCTTGGTTTCTTCCAGGCCCCAAATAGCAGGCCAATCCTTGCTTTACTTCAACAGAGCTGTATACATGGAGTCCACACATGCCCAGGCTCGAAGTGTGTGTCCAATATCTCATGCCATGGCGGAACAGCACCCGGAGGAGCTGTGCTTTTGCAGCAAAGACATGCGGCTGAAAGTACGAGCAGACTCCACACTGGTACTTCTTGACTTCAGCGTGAGTCTGGAGATGGGCACGCAGGTTGGAGCGGTCAGCAAAGGCACGGTTACAGTGGGGGCAGGAGAAGGGCCGCTCACCTAGAAAGAGACAAATGTGTCACATGACCATCTTTACAAAAGATGGGGCTAACACTCGTTCTCAAAGCAGTGAAAAGGTGTTTCCAAAAGTTCACAAGAGACAATCATTAACACCTCACATGTACCAAGCACATAACATCGTGTGAAGATAATGGGGAAGCGCATGGTCACAGTATGGGGAGTGAATTAGCATGATTCAATCAGAGCCTGATGAGATTAGCACACTAACAAGTTGTTGCAGGTTCTGAGGACTCGGTGATAGCCAGGGGCCTTCAGGCATTTAAATCTTTTGTCAACCGTATGTCCCTGTTCTGTTGTCTTCTTCAGATAATTAGCCCGCGTGCCTTTGATAATAATAACACAATAGCTGATCAATGAGTAGATCACAGGGCAGTTGAGATAACATGTTATGTTGAGTGAGGGCACCTAACTCCCCTTTTCCACAGCTCAAATGATGAGGTAACCTGCTGACTTACTCGTTCACTCAGGCAAATGTACATGCTGTTTGCAAGCACCCATTTCACAACTCATGAGTCAGCAGCTAAACCACCAATAGGCTGCCTGGTATGTCAAGATGTCAATATGGAGGATAAAATTAGTCAATAACAGGATTAGACCATTTTCCCTTTTGCTGGCTGTTATTGTACATTTCCCCATGAGACAGTTTTGTCAGTGGTAAGTGGAATCGTTAGATTCAATTACTGTGTATTTGTATTACATATAATCTTATTCTGATTAAGAAACTTTTTGGCTGTTTGGCTTTTGGAAAAGGACATCTAAGTGCTTTGTAAAAGTAGTAAGATGAGGTTTTGGTTTTACCTGTATGTGTCCGAATATGTCCCCTGAGGAGCCATGGTCTGGAGAAGGCCTTCCCACAGGTGGTGCATACACAGGGAAGTGTGTGAGAGCGGATATGCATTTTCAGAGCGCCCAGACTTGTGTACTCCTTGGGGCAGTGTTTACAGAGGAAGGCTGGTCTGTTGGCTGTGACTGGTGCCCCCCTCTCCTCCTCTTCTTCGGGGGGACTGGTGTGTGCCATGACACCAGTGCACTTCATCCGCTGTCGGGGGGCATATGTATGAACGGGCTCCGGGCTGGGGGGGTCTGATGAGCGGCCCTCATCTTCCTCTCCACTGCTGCTGGCACCACTACTGAGGCTGGAGGGCGAGCTGAGGTCCAGGGGCCCAGATGTGGCAGAGGCCTCAGTTTGTGTGGGTAGGTACAAGGTGGGCAGCATGCTCAAATCCCACACCAAACCTCCACTGAAGCAGGTGGCAACTGAAGTGTCTCCTGATGAGAGCTCAGCAACAGGATATCTGTCCAGTGAAGTGTCTGAAATTAAAAGTGGCGGCTATTATTAGATATAGGGCAACACAATAGGTTACAACTTATTTTTAGAATGAATACAGCCAAGAAGCACCTACACTATTCTCTATGCTTGTATACATTTCTAGAGGAGATTTTTTCAGTAAAGTTTCATGGGCCATTTCCTCCCACGTATTCACAAGAGTTTGTAACATGAATAGAGCTCTGTGTGCGCGGTGTCCTGCTGGTGCAAATGGGGAAAGTCCATCTAACGGCCCTACTTGACCAGAAAAGTCCTCAAGACTCAGACTTGAACCTAATACCACTGCTCGTAGACTGTTCAAATTAGCCTACCCAAAACAACAACATAACATTAAACTGCTGTGGCGCTTTTAAAATCATGTTTAATTAGTCTATAGAAAGCTGAATTAAACTCACCATTCTGACATTCAAGTTCACTGTAGTTTGGCTTTTGTTTAGCGAAATATTTTTTCACCAGGAATGATCGAGGCATCGTCCTTTTTAGGGTTTAACAGTTGTGCGTAAAAGTATTCCCGATACAAGACGCACGCACTGAGTGCAAGTAAAAGCGCAAATCGTGGTCTTTTGGTCCTTTCAAAAATATCCTCCGTTATCCCTGAGTTGGAGAAGACGCGAACAGACAAGTGGGTGTGTGCTTTCCATGCAGACTAACTAAATGCTGGCCTCTGTTCTGATTTGTGCCTTTCACGGGCGCTAGGGGTGTGCTCGCCCCAGGGCCCTCCCCACATCACACATCAGCTCGAGCGCGTTGGAAGAGCCACCACTTTACAATAAACAACCCCGTTTGGTTTTCTGAGACGAGGTCATTACCTGACAACATGCGTGACCACATGGCACTGTTTGTTTCCCGTGTGTGATTAACCATAGACTGTATATACACTCTTTCAAAATTGATTCTTTATACAATCTATGGTAATATCTCCAAAATAAAATGATGGCTTTTCATTTACACCTTAACTTTAATCTAAGGCATATTTTTTCTTACAACATTCGTAAAAATACCTGAAAAGTGATCAGTTTAGTTCAGTTTTGTCAAAGAATTTGGATAACCTGAAAGCAAGACGTACCAAGTGTTCTCGTTTCAAGACCCAACACCTTTGGTGCGCTGTCGCAGGTTAGTCAACTGCGACATCTGTCGGGCGAGTTCGGTGTTGTTGGCGTTGTGTACAGGTCAACCATTTTTAGTAAAACGCGTTGTTATTATTATGTATAGGGTAAACAAGTGCTTAATGTGCATTATGTGTAACTCTTCAGGTGGGAGTTCTGCCTCCTGCATCTGTCCATAAAGTTGTTTTTGTTTTTTCCAAATTGAGTTATATTGCTAAGAAATATGATATACCTACACCCATCCTTACTGTGCGTAGGCTCGCTTCTTCACAGATCAGACCTGTAATCTGCTTCTCACTAGAGCTTTATTGTCATGCTGTCGAACATTCCATGCAAAGCAATTGCATCTCAATAATGGAGACTTGCAGGTGGCAGTCCCTCCACCGTAGGTTTTATAGTTCACCTTTAAATTGGGCAATTAAAGTAACACTTATTAGAACATAATTTACGATCATTAGCATCTTCATTAGCAACTTTATTCTGCAAAGGGTATTTTATATAGGCTATTCCACGTCTTGGTTGTAGCTTGTACGCAACATCGTCGTTGTGTTGCGGCTGAAGCCTCTGTCTGGTTTTTATTGGTGGGTTAAATTTAGTGGGCGGACCAATGGGTGTGTACTTTCTATTTGGTCCGTTGAAGGTTTGAAATCCAAAACAGCGGACACTGTAGGGAGTATTGTCCATTAACAGCATAGTAGAAGTATATAAGTAGAACTATATAAGTAGACACGTAAAACGATTATTTTTTTCTGTGGTACTGAACGATGCCTTGTTACTGGATCTGAATCTTATCTACAAAGGTAAGGACATTGTTGCAATTCTCCTAGCCTAGTTGCAACAATGCACAGCTATTGCCCAGGTTTATTCTTAAGGATATTTATTTAACCATGCATAGATTTCGGTTGTAGTTTCCTCTTTTGCATTTTGTATATCCTATCTACTATGTTATTATTTTTAGTTTTTAAATTGATCAGAGATTTGTCCATATTTTACTGTAAGCTTAATTATTGACTACATTTGAGCGACGTTTAATGCGGCCCCCTTCCAAAAAAACGGACCAGCGTTAGATATAATTATTATTCTTGCCAGTCATCATCTGTCTACTGCAAGGTGTAATGTAGCTTTTGCCCTGACATGTCTTTTAAGCCCCTCCCCCATATAAGAGGCAGACGGACCACAACAATGAAACTTGGGGGGCATTATTATTTAAACAGTTCCGGAGAGCCCTTTTGATATCCCACTCAGCTTTCCCAGGTTTTCCATGATTTGTCAAAACAAATGTTTTCCCAATAAAAGACGAATTTGCTGAGTTTGGCAATAGGTAATTCTTAACTTGCTTCTCTCTTAGGGTCACTGGTCAAACTAATAACCATAAAAAAAAAGAAACCAGCTCTATCCAAAGAGGAAGAGGATTCGTTTAAAAAAAACAACAAACAAACAAACAAGCTAAATCATGTTCAGAATCATAGCCAACTTCCTCTTTGGAGACGAAGATAAACCCCTTGAAGATATTAAGTCTGTGGAAGTGGAAGATGAGGAGTGGCATGTTGTTAGCCACCAAGGTTGGTCATTTCTTAAGTTTTTGTAAAACAAAGGCAACAATGTTATTCTAATTCTTAACTTGTTTTAATAGAGGCAGTTGCAGATGAACACCAAAAGGCGGCGCTGTTGGAACATCAACCAAAGTCAGCTGTTTTTGATTCATCTAATGTACAGGATGCAGATAACAGGTATGAATTAAGTCTATCTCACATTTTAAAAATTAAATGAACACATTAAATCAATAATTTTATTTTGTCCAGTGTAATCTCATCAGAAACTTTGGATCAAACTAAGGAAAAAATTACAAATCAAGCATTCCCTGGTGTCAGTCTACCTAAAGTGGTTGCTCATGTGACTGAGGCTGCGTGTATGCAGAGAGCAAAAGCCTGGGGTGATCGGCATAACTCCTCTCGTAAAGCTGTGCAGCGTCAGAACCGCCTCCAACACAGGGTCCAGCAGCAGGCCCTCCATCTGCACCAGCCAGTTCACCGCAACATGTACCATTGAGGAGAGTCAAGCACCTCTTGTCTACTTTTAGTGATATTTATCAACTTTAATTAAGCACCACCTATAAATACTTTTTACAGTTATTCATATTTAACATAATATTTGATGTAGCATTATCTTGAACTGTAACTGTAATATAGCTATACCTCATATTTTATAATACAAGTTTGGAATAGTTAAGTGGATGACTAGGAAAATCTATGCCAAGTTCTTCAGCATCATTATGTACTGTATGGAATAACTAGTTATGAACGAATAAAAGTTTGTATTTTGCATAATTCACTATTTAGTATATGTATTTTACCGTTGATGGGTGAAAGCAAGCCTGTATAATACAAATGGTCTGATGTGGGTTGTCTCCTTGGGTAAGACATTTAACCCATCCTGCCTGCAGAATCTCTGTATACTTATGCATCATTAATTTCACTGAATTGGAGACAGAGTCCTTGAGCACTTGACCAGCCCGCCAACACTTGGTCATTCACTTAAGTTATTTACCACATGTAGTACAGGTTGAAATGAGTTTCCTCCACAGGGTGGCTGGGCGCTCACTTAGAGATAAGGTGAGGAGTTCAGTCACACAGGAAGAAATCGGAGTAGAGCCACTGCTCCACCTTGAGAGGAGTCAGCTGAGGTAGCTCAGGCATATGTTCCAAACGCCTGTGGGGAGGTGCTCTGGGCATGACCCATTGGGAGGAGGCCCCGGGAAAGACCCAGGACACGCTAGAGAGACTGCTGCTCCCTCAACTCGGCCTCAGATAAGTGGAAGAGAATAGATGGATAATACAGGTCTTCAAGGCAATATTTAGAATCAGAAGTACTTCATTAGTGCCACAGTACAATTTGCAGTTGTGTAATGTTCTCACAAGTGAGACACTAATAATCTGTCTGATTTATAACCTGAACGTCTCGTTTTCTTTGATGGCTGTTAGTGTTAGTCATGGGGACCCACAAGGATTTTCACATCTTTGGTCAGACCCTATAAGCTTCATATATTGTAAGTATTTAGTGTCAGTGTCATAAAGATTGTTCATCACATATGGATGTGTGGTATGCTGTCACTGCCTTATCATTGTATGGGGAACATGACACAGTCACTTTACTTCCTGTTAAAACTGAACAAAAGTGAATGAAGTCCTCAGAAGCATTAAATCAGGAATACCTTCTGGTGGAAGGTCCATCAGGTCCACCTGCTACTGTCCATGTAGATGTTATTGCTTTGCCTGGATTGTTCCAAAGTGGCTTTGCATTTACCAAGGCAAATGAAGCCATCAGGCTAAGTTGCAGGTCAGATCTTTATATTGTAACATTTCATCTACAACAATAATAAGGAGATAATGGAGACAAAGGTGATGTGCTCCCCCACCATAAAAAGTTACTTATGTTAAAACAGTTAAAATGTATTAGAAGAATGACCAATGTTTACTTGTTCATGTGGCAGAAGATGTGGCAATAAATGACATCTCCACCTCTCTCTAAGAACTCTTTCAGTCGCATTACCTTTATGTAACATGCGGGTACAAGTGTTATTCAAAATAAAACTCACTGTCATGACACATGTCCAATCATACTCATCTGCTACTGCTCAAAAGGATAAGAGCCAGAGGTATTTTGTGCAGAACATCAGAAATGTTATCTAGGCTATATCTCACTGTACTGTATTGTTCTAAGTAGCATTTTCAAGGATACTGTCGCAGTTAAGATTGCTGTCAGCCCTATGCGTGCCACTGTACTGATAAGTCTCTTCAACCAGAATGTGTTAATCTTATCCCTTTTATTGAGGAGAAAAAACATAAAGTTCTAGTTATTTGGAAGTGGAGATGAGACACAATTGTAGTGTTTATGCTGACTGAGAGGACGCAGTCAGTGTGCAGAAATGAAGGCTGTTACATAAAGCTGATTTAAAGTGCAGATATGGTAAGGTGCATACCAGGTGCTTCTCAGAGTAGGACATGTCACATGCATTGTCTGTGGACACATAAACATGTCACTCAAGACTGGACCAGCAGGCTACTGGTTACTACAAACTTGGGATACACATTGGGTGTGCTATCTAAATATATTTGAACAGTTTCTATACGGTGATATAACTGTTAGCCATTGTGTGTTACATTTATTGATTTGCTGAAACCAAATAAACCATTTTAAACCACTATCTCTGTACGATGTCGCTGTGAACAACCATGCTGGGTTTAGGTGATCACCAATAGGTGGCTGTGGAGTCAGATTCACTCAGTGGGCCTTTACTGTGATAAAAAGTGAGTGAATAGTCATTCTTTGCAGGAGCAGGTGTGAGTTTGAGAATCTAAAATAAAAAGTCAGTCCTGGCAGGTCTGTGTAGTGCCATCTTACATGAGTGCATTTGGTAATAAGTAATGTGTTCTGCTTATGCTCATTCTAGGCTACATTTTTAATATGCTCATTTAGTGAGTGAGTTAGAGAGACAACAACTCACTTTATTAATGTATGCTTTGTAAACTGTGAACTGATTACATTATTTTGATTGCCCTACCCTCATAAGCAGGGGCATTGTGTAATGGTGAATTTGTCTGACGTGACTAGAGAAAGGAGAGCTGCAGGGGGCGTGGCCGGTCACACACACAGGGCGTGGCCGGTCACGCACAGGTCACTATTTAACTCCGCATAGTGTTTACACCTCCCAGAGTTTCCACCATCATCAGACAGTCACTTCCTTCAGTGCTACTGCTCTGCACCATGTAGCTTCAGTTGAATAAGAAGTAACAAACTTTTGAACATTAAAGAAAGATTTGTCTCGAGCACTTTTCGTCACCTGAATCATATCGGCACCGGAGAGTGTGTTTTTATTACACCGTGCACACAGGTACGTTGTTCAGTAATAGAAGGCTGTTGCCTGGAGTTTTCAGTAGCACTTTTACCTTTGAGCAATACTATTTACCTGCTAATTGTTTTGTAAAGCTGGTGACACTCATCCCCTAATGTTTGTTTATACAAGTGGTATTCAGAGTCTCTGTCTATTGTGTGGATTGGAATGCAGGTGTACTGTGATGAAAGAAAGGGCCTTAATATAGTCAAACAATTTCATCAATTGGCAGTGGAATAAAACTGTTATAAGTTGCAGTATGTCCTTCTCTTTTTAATAATACATTGAGATGGTAGAATTATTGTAACTTTGTGTCATTTATAACTGCATAAACTCTCTTATTATTTGTACTGTTTTATTTTTGATAGGTTACCTATTTTACAAGCTCTAACCCAGTCGAACACATCCAGGTGATATGGAGCCTGTTGTAAAGGAAAAGTTTTTCATTGTTATCCGAGGAAAGTCTAGGAAAGGCTTTTGCAGAGGGGGCATTGGCCGTGTGGAGGGCGAGCTGCAGAATGGCGAGCTGATGGCAGTACAGTTTTGTGGCAGTAGCAACAGTGGCAATTCAAAGAGTGGGGGCATTGTGAAGAAAGAGGACACATATCCCCTGACACGCCACCAGGCTCAGCTACTGCTCTTTGTCTCATCCACAAGCAAGCGCCTTGAACTGCTGTGCAACCCTCAGCTCTTCTCTGCCATTTGTGAACTTTCACATGAGGACCTTGTTGTGGTCAGGCACAAGAAGGGACATGTACCTGGGCTGGTGAAGAACCTCATGCAGATTGGGAGAAATGACAGCCAGGAAGACCTGTACATGCTTGGCTTTGAGGTGGAAATTTTGGTGAGTGACAGATATGTATTTATGTACAAAGACTTTGTATGAAGTAGGCCTCTGTTCCTATAAAGTGTGCCTCTCTGTATTTTCTTGTAAAGATGAAATATGACTGTATGGAGCGATGCACATCTGATGGTTTTGACATTATCAGTATTTTTAATGATGTCTGTGCTTATTTTTATTCTTAGGACACTGACCACAATTTTGCCTCAAAAAAACCCGTTCCTCCTCCTTTGTTCAGTGCGGCAGATATTGTTCAGGTCGTCCCATCGCACTCTGTCTCCCTTGGAGTTCAGTGGAAGGAGGGTGAGTATCATTACATGTACAGGTGTATTATGGCTTTCTTATTCTTAGATCATTTGGATCAATGTTTTATTAGCTCTGAATAGGTGTGATTCAATTGGCTTTTAAAACCCAACCCTCCGACACTCCCCTGTAAACTAATTAAAATATTTCAAATTTGGGGGCTTGGGCAATGATGTATTCTACTTGAAAAACCGGGTCTGTTGCTCTGGAATGAAGCGATCACATGCTTTGTGTTACAGAACATACCTTTGCAAGGCCTGTGGCATCTTTGCCCGAGGTTAATCTGATGAGATGTGCATGTGATGCAGCTGCAAAAATATGTCATATGACTTTCTAACAACAATGTCTCCTCATACCTATTTACAGGTCAAAACCACAGACCTGTAAGTCGTGTCAACTCTACGTCAAGCATAGGATCTTTTGGTCAACAAGTAAACCGCAGGCAACCAGGAAGTGAAAGCATCCCCCAAGTTCCTCTGGAGCTGGGCTCTCTGGTGGAGGTCCAATCAAACTCTGGAGTCACTGTGTATGGAGTCATCCGCTGGATAGGTGCTCTCGAAGGGAAGACCGGTGAATGGGCTGGTATTGAATTGGTAAGTATTTTTTTTGATAACCGATGTAACACAGCCCATTTAGACTGGACTCTTAAATCTGCCTTATTTTTGATTTAGGACTATGATGTTAAAGGTTGTTCTGATGGTACATATGGAGGCAAGAGATTTTTCACCTGCACTGGAAACAAGGCTCTGTTCATTCCAAAGACAAAGTGCCATCCTGACAGTAGATTTGGTTCATGTGGGGAGAGTGTGGGCTCCAGAACAGAGAAAACACCAGGTGAGTCCATTTTAGCCAAGTTCATCTAAATAAACAGTGGAAAATAGAGACATCCAGGCAGATTTATTATAAAACATTTTTTTAAAAAGCAACTGGGTGGAAATCCAATTTGGAAGCTAATGTTGCATTCTAAACTATTTTTGTTTTTGGATTTTATATTTTTATATGATTAATAAAATATTTTAAGTGATTAGCTATTTTAGAGCATCAGAGTGCAAATCAGGCATGAGATAGTTATTTTCTTGTTTTGTTGAAACCATCTTGATTCTATGAATTTTGCTGTTATGTGTGTACGTATTTTATTATTGCACCTGTTCACAAGTTCTATTATCCATGACCTTTAATGCCTTTATGTTAGACAAACAATTTGACATCCCAACATTGTTTCATAAGACCCAATGTTTTTTATGATTTGTCTAACTTCCTGCATTAGTAGTTAATAATTCTCCCAAGCATGTGACTCTTGGCTTACACAATGTATAATGAGACAGGGATTCTGAACCTGTTTTGATCGTTTGTTGTTTTGAACTCATTCAGTTCATAAAACAGTTTTATATTAAACTAAGAACCCCCTCCATGGCAATAACTGTTGTAAGGTGTTTAATTTATTATTATTATTATTATTTTGCAAACTGCTGATGTTTTATATTTAGAATTATAAATCACACAAATATATTTTATGTTTTTTATTAGTCCCTCCCTTTGAAGAGTCTGAGGATCATGTACCACCTCTCACAGAATCTGAGGCTTTCTCTTTACTTGTTGGAAAGATGAAGGGGATTCAGGGCCACTTTAATTCATGCTACCTCGATGCCACTCTCTTCAGGTAAAACCAGATCATACATTCTGCTACCTCTCACATTTAATTTGTTCTTCTGTTCAGTGTGCCTTATCTACGGCTACTGAACTAATCTAAGTGTGTCCTTTTCAGTTTATTCTGCTCGTCCCTGGTTCTGGACAGACTCTTTCAAAAGCCTCTTGACATTGAGCCACCAACAACATGCACTTTGAGGAAAATCATCAATCGTTTACGCAGGTACTAACTCCTTCACATTTCCTCCTGAATAAGCTGTTCTGGAGCAGTCACAGTGGCCAAAAATATGAATAGCCATGTGAAAGGGTTTATTGCCGCTAGGAACTACTTTTTTAAATGCATACTATCTCCTTTCACAGTGTGAAAATCAAGCACCGCACTTTTAAAATACAAAAACAAAATAATTATAAGCACACCATACTTATGTCAAGAGTTGTGGGTCTCTCTATTCATTCAAATGCTTGACTTCTATTGTTCGGGTTGTCAGGGGCATATACTAGATATTTCTAGATTATTTTAACAGAACTTTTGTTTAATTTTATTCTGTTGTAGATTTCCTGATGGAGAACCTCTTCAAATAGGTCTTATTAATTATGGAAAAATGCTGACTTGCTTACTGTTATTTATGTGTTACAGGCAAGGATTTGTTCCTGCTGAGAGTGTGATGAGTTTTCGTAAACAGCTTGGGTGTGACACTTTCAGTACAGAGGAAAAAGGTAACGTGTTATTTTACCTAAATCCATTTAAAAATAATTACATTAGTGTCAGCATGAACAGTAATGTATAAACCTTTTCAGACCCAGAGGAGTTCATCACTGTCCTTTTTCAGAAGGTGCTATGCATCGAACCTTTGCTTAAACTCAGGTAAGACACAAACTTGCTCAGATTCATTTTTCTGTGTTTTTATTTATTTATTATTTTGACTTTTACCAATGATTTTTTTTTGTCTTTTTTTTATAGATCTAGAGGAGAGACTTTCCAGGACACCTACACATTCCAGATATTTTTGGAAAAAGAACAAATGTGTCCCGTGCCAACTGTCCAGCAGCTCCTTGACACCTCCTGTTTATCCAGTAATTTGAAGTTTGAAGTGGTGGGTGTTTGAAAAATGTTTGTGAAATACCTGGGCTTATAAATTGTCTAATGTATTTATGTGTTTACTTTGCAGGTGCCATCATGTCTCATGGTACAGATGCCCAGGTTTGGCAGCAAATACAAGATGTTTTCATACATCATCCCCTCAGTAGAGCTCGACATCACCGATCTTCTTTATAATTGTAAGAGTAAGAACTATAATAAAGATAGCATTGGAGCTGCAGCATTAGATGGGATAAATATGAATTGCTCGATTTTACCAGGTCCGAGGGAATGTTTTCTCTGTGGATGCTTGGCAGAGTTTGAGTGTTTGCAGTGTCTACCAGATCGTAAGTTGCACCCAGGAAGAATCAAACAGTTCTGTGCTACCTGCAATACACAGGTAATTCACAGTCTTCTAATTTCTTCTACAAACACAAATTTCACATGTTGACTGTAATTGTATTTGTTTCAAAAGGTGCATAACCATCCCACACGACAAGGCCATTCCCCGACACCACTAGTGGTCTCAACAAGCACAACCCCTGATGCTCCAATGCCTAGACATACTATGCAGCTGTTTGCAGTTCTGTGTATTCAGACCAGCCATTATGTGTCATTTGTCAAATGTGGCTCAGACCCCAAGTCATGGCTCTTTTTTGATAGCATGGCAGACAGATGTGGTAAGTTATAATTTTGTATTACATGCATATGCTATTACATCCATATTATTGTGAGCTGTAACTTGTCTTTGTCTTTGTTTAGCATGTGCATTGCTAACCATGATTTGTAGAGATAAAATGTCCTTGACAGTTTTAGATAAGACGTTCTTCTGACGTCCCTGACGTTTCCTTTGCTCCAGCTGATGTCTGATTGTCTCATTGTTTTCTTTTCTTTTCTGTAGGTAATGATCAAAGTGGATACAACATTCCAGAGGTCTGTGCCTGTCCAGAACTGGGCGACTTTCTATCTCAGTCAGAGGAGGAGCTGACTTGTACCAACCCTTCTCAGGTCCCTGAACTTGTGAGGAGGCTGTTATGTGACTCTTACATGTTGTTGTACCAGAAGAACCCAGTTGAGCCGCTCCCTGTGTCAGAGCAGCAGCAGCAGCAACATTAAATACATGACAGAATGTGTCCCCAGAACAGCTCTGTAGAAGTCCTTTTATAACCAAGAGTTAAAATGGTTGTTATCATATTGTAACAACTGATCTGCAATGTAGCTCAAAGTTACATGTTTTTGTTACTGTTACTGCTTATTTAAGAAGTTGTAGATGAATAATGTAATGTGAGTTTATTTAATAAATGTAATAAGTGTTTTCTCTTGTATAAATTTGTGTTTTCTGCCTGACCTGTTACATTGAAAAGAAAGAAATGAATAAGTCAAAATTATTTGGTATTTATTAGAGTAGCACAACTCAGCGTCTTGAATGTGTACCTCCTGAGTAGTTTTCTTATACACTGCTCTTTGACTACTTGAATGTTCATTTGGTGTAGCAGTTTTGTTTATGGCCCACTGTAAGTAGGTCTATAAGCCAAAGTAACAAATCTGGCATTACTTTATTTTTCCATTTCAAGATATGCACTAATGTAGTACCTAATACCATATAGCAGTGTTTGATGGCATTTAATTGTTCTCAAATTTTACTTGTGCTTAAATGTGCTTGGTTATTAATTCCCACTGTCTTTTATGTTTGCTTTAGTTTATTTCCTACAATGTTAAACTTATGTGAACAATAGCACCCTCTTTTGGATTGAAAGTAGCTCGAAGTAATTCATTCAAGCGTCAAGTCAAATGAGAAGACACAAAGTAAGTTCTGAGCTTTTGGCTTTAAAATTAGCCTGATGAAGATCATGAAGCAAACTAATGGATAAACATATGGTTTTTGACCCTGAGTCTTCCTTCCTCTTCTCCAGCAAACCTACTAAATAGACTTATTGTAAATTTCGCAAAATACCTTCAGAATTCACATAGTCCAGTATCCTAGGGTTGACAAGATGTGTTTTTGCCTGACGTAGATTGAACACATTTATGTGTCAAATTACGTGAACACTCTGTGCCTTTTCCATAGACAGGATGGCCCTTTCCCAAATGGAATGTGGTTTGGGCCACCTGAAGTGAGGGAGTGAATGGATGAGTGCAAAGCCAAAGTTAAATAAAGCAGATTGTATGAGATCTTGTTGAGATGAAAGTGTGAAACGTGTGCAGGGTGCAGACATGGGTGCTGGGTGGGCTCCTCAGTGGAGCAACACGTTTAAAGGAGGGGCTACACTTCCCTGAACCATTTAAACTGAAGCGCATGCGCTCTGAAGAGGATTTGGTACTTGGTTCTTACACAACAGCGTTTCTTCTTCATTCTGCCTGCATCCCGTTACCGGTGTGCAATCCCTTCATATTATTCCGTTTAACACAAGCGAGGACACTCTAGGAAATGAGTGGGGACCATTTCCAGAACGAAAACCAGGTATTTTCGGGTACATTATTTTATCATCACAGATATAAAGTTTGAAAGATCAGCGAAAACACTACTCTTATCTGTTAGGCTTTGACAGGGAACTTTGCTAACTTAAGAATAGCAGCTATTAGCACGCGTTAGCCCTCTGTGTTTGTGTGCCAGCTCATATTGTGATACAGAGCTCCTCAAAGGGCACCATTCAAACAATTGACAAAGGAATGTCAATAGTGCGATTATCGGACAGACATATTCAATTGGGATAATGTAGATCTACTTATGGCACTCAGAATATGGAGCATTTGTGGTGTCCCACGTTAGCTGTAGCGGCATCGTTTGCTAACCGCTAACCAAGCCATTTAATCAGATGGCACAGAATGCTAGGCGAGCTAGCCGGGAATGCTAAGAAACTATCCTGACATCAGGCAAGTTCAAAGTTGGCTCATTAGTTTGCTTCTTACATATGTTAACGTATTTTTTACTTTACAGATTGACTGTGGCTCCAGAGTCAATGGTGAGTTGTTATTACTCGACTTGAGATGCCTTAAAGTGATATTTTTGACTGTTGATCATATCGAGCTGCAGGGTTGTTCTTAGCAAAGGACAGAAATGGCGTCCAGAGACTAAGTCCTCTGTCTCACGCATAAGCGTCTATTGTTCAAAAGAGAGGCCTTGATCAAACCTTTGTTAAAGTAAATCAAACACTGTGAGATGTTTTTAGGAAAGATCTTGTCGTGGTTTATCAATCTGTCGCGATGGTTTTAATAGTTTTAGGGATTTTAATGCTCTATTTCCTCTTTAAAAGTCAGGGTTTGGGGGTTGAGGACTTAGTCTCTGCGCCATTTTCTTTTTCGCTGTAGCGGCCTGTCTACTGAAACTCAGTCCAGACATTAAGTGCAGATGGCTGTACCGTGAGATCTGCTGAAACGCCTGAATGAAAACGTAACTTAAGAGCACTACTCCTTTCAGAGTACTTTTATTAATCAGTTTTGTCATTTTGTCCAGTTTTTATCGTATTTGAGAAAAAAGTCCTCAGATTCATGACTTTAGTTTTCATTTGGCTACTTTTTTCCTGCAATCCTGAACAATTTTGGATTTGTTTAATTCAGAGCAATAAAATGCCACATGTGTAAATCGTTAAACTTTTTTTTTTTTTTTTTTTTCTTTTGTGTACACAAAATTACAAAAGGGTTTTTTACATTGAACCTTTAATTTTAATGTTTAATTTAAGTGGAGTGAAAGCCTGTATAAAACAATGGTTAGTGATGTGGACTGTAGAAGACTATGTTTACCTGGGAAGGCTTAATTTAGATCAAAATGTTAATGACCTTCACTCCAGTTTGACTTCCCATAAGATATACACATTAACTTTACACTGAAGCAACTGTAGAGTAAGTCAGATGTATTTGGTTTCCTACAGACTCCCACAAACACAAAGAAAAGTACAAGGAGCACAAACACAAGGACCACAAGAAGGACAAGGAGAGGGAAAAGTCCAAGCACAGTAACAAGTACGGGAGACTTTTGCCATTCTTTTATAGGACAAGATTGAGTAGGGTTGGATTTTAATCCTTGATTGTGTATTTAATCAATAAATTTTAGTGACTACAAGGACTTATCTGACAAAAAGCATCGGGACAAGGAGAAGGAAAAGATGAGGCACAAAGATGGGAGCACAGACAAGCACAAGGACAAGCACAAAGAAAAGCGGAAGGAGGAAAAGGTACATTTTAGCACATGATCGTAATTTGGTCGACCCTGTCTGTAAAGCTGGTCAACGCTTGTACTAGTTAAAATTTACCTATTTTTCAGATGAAGTCTTCGGATGGTAAAGTCAAAAAGGAGAAGGAAAATGGTTTTGGCAGGTATGTTTAACTTGATAGGTTGTTGGCGGGAGTGTAATGTATCAGATAGACCTGTCACAATAACAAAGTTGATGAAGTACAATATATTGCTACTAGAATTATTGTGATAAATTATAATGGTGAAACTACTTTGTCAGTGATAAGGCAGGATAATCCCATTAAACCGATTTTTAAATGTACTGTATAAGGTATGAACTGCAACAAATGATAATGAACTAATCATTAGCCATAGAAGTTATTTATTCTACTCCCTACAGCTCATATCTTAGTTATTATATAGTTATTACATAAAAATGGCAAAAATCACCCCATTATTACATATAAATTATACATGCGATAAATATTGAGCAACAAAATGTTTTGTTCCAGCTATCGACGACAAACTGCTATAGTATTTATTGCTACAGGCCTAGTATCAGACTTGTGACTCAACTTCTAAGGTGGAGGATTTGCTGATTGGTTGTTTCCATGGAGATGCTATTTCTTTACATGGAATGTTTCACAGTATGGCATTAAACATATCTGCCTCAATTACAGGAGTTCAAACAAGATGAAACAAAGATGCCTTGAAAAACATGAATTCTTACTATGAATTCTTACTATGTGTACTATTGCTTCACCATACATCTGACCATTAACTTGTCTCCTTTGTGATGAACAACTTTATTTCCATAGTGTGAAATAATCAAGGCAAGCAGTAACATCTCCAAGGAAACAAGTATGTGGCGGACCATCCACCAGAAAAGTTGCACCGTGCACCTTTTTTTTTTTTTTTTTTTTTTTTTTTTTTTGGCGCATATGTAATTATGTAATGTTTTTTTATAAATGTGTTTTGTTTTGCAGCCCTATACATGTGAAGTCTGAGCAAGAGGATGACTTTTACCACTCTGCCAGACACGAAAAGACTCTAAAGAGGGAGCGGGATGATGATGAGTAGGTTTTTGTTTGTTTGTTTGTTTTTTAACACTAGCCTATGTCCTCCAAATTATAATTTCATACTTGAGATGCCACTAACACAATTTATTTTTTAGTGTGGAGTTCAAGTCCAAGAAAATAAAGACCGAGGATGACAAGAAAGCTAAAAAAAGAAAACATGAAGATGTAAGTGAGAAATTTCAATAAGTCATTGCATGAAGGGAAATGGACATGCAACTTTGTACATCCATCTGTTGCAATGAAAGCTTTTGCCAAATCACTGCAGTGATCATATTTGTTTTTTTGTCAGTCAAAGACAAAAACTAAAGGAAAGGACAAAAAAGAAGTTGGTGATAATAAAAAGAAGGTCAAGAAGGAGCCCGAAGAGAAGTGGAAATGGTGATTTGTACAGGAATGCGTTCTTTTCAATTGTTTAATTTGGCACATTATTTGACTATGTACCTGAATGGCTCTGCTTCCAGGTGGGAGGAGGAAAGATACACTGATGGTGTCAAATGGAAATTTCTGGAACACAAGGGACCAGTGTTTGCACCTCCATATGAGCCTCTCCCAAGCCGTGTCAAATTTTACTATGATGGTAAAAATGCACAAATACTGTGATTTAGCATAAACTGATCAGAAGTGCATATGTTTCATTTCTTGTCACAAGAAGTGCAGAAATATTACTTGATTGTTGGGTTACAAATATGTATTTACTTCATAAATAGTGTGTGTATGTTCAGGCATTTTAAGAATTATACAAGTCTCAGCTGCACGATATTGTGAGGTTTTGGCTTTTGTCAAACCTGGGGAACCACCGCTGTGAGCTGAATCTTGTATTGTAGAGTGTAGCGCTAAACAAATAATTTTACTTCAAATATTATGTTATATTATGTATTGTTTTGCAGGTAAACACATGAAACTCAGCCCTGAAGCAGAAGAGGTGGCCACGTTTTTTGCCAAAATGCTTGAGCACGAGTATACCACTAAAGACATTTTCCGCAAAAACTTCTTCAAAGACTGGAGAAAGGTATAATCAACAGATACTTTCAATACTAACATTTTGTAACTGAACTTTGAACTGAA